TGTCTTCATGACTCAATTTAGGTAGACTGTGTATGTACAAGAACCTATCAGTTTCTTCTAGATTTTCCAAGTTGTTGGCATATAGCTGTTTGTAGTAATTCCTGATAGAGTTCCTGGTTTCTGGCTTCAGCCTGGCTCAGCTCCGGCTATTGGCACCACTTGGGGAATGAACTAGCAGATGGAATCTCTCTCTCTCTCTCTATCTCTTTCACTCTAGCTCAATCTTTCAAATCCACAAATAAATATTTTTAAAATGTCTCCTTTTTCCCCTCACCATTTTTTAACATCAACTTTAACACCACAATCCTAATGTGAGTTTCCACATAGTGTGATGCTTTCGTCTATTCAAAATGTTTTATTGAGTACCCAACAATGGTTATAATAGCTGTTGGGCACATAACTAAACAAAATAGGCATAGGCTATTGGAGAATCTGGAGGAGTCATCAGACTATAATCAGTGGCATAAGTCATGTCCTCAGGGAAGTTCTGTGTGCAGAGAGAGCCCCTCAGGGAGGTATCCCTCCTACACTCTGGGGAGGTCTGGTAGACTTCCTGGAAGAAACCACATGTACACTGAATGTAGGAGAGGACTTAGCTAAGCAGTACGTCACTGTTGGGAGAGCTCCAGGCAGGAGTAGCACATTTGGAGGTCCAGAGAGATGCTTGCTATGGCTCCATGGCAACAGAAGAGCTGAGAAACATCAGCGCTGTTATGCTACAGAAGGTGTTGATCGTGACAGCTGGAGAGAACTTTTCTCCAGGGAAGAGAGTGCGAGCCGAGACCAGAAATAAGCAGGGCCCGGATAGATTATGAAGCTATTTTAAGTTTTCCCCCCTAGGTAAGATGGAAGAAAGACTGGTCATTCAGTTGTACGTGGGGGAATACTATAATCAGATGTGGGTATTCTAAAGATTGTTTTTACTGAAAAGCGGTGAATGAGTTGAAAGGGGAAAGAGTGGAGTCAGAAAGATCAGCTCTGGAGTGAAAAACGATGGTGGCTTAACTAATGAGAAGTGGCAGCAGAGGTGGGGAGAAATGGGGTCGTGTCCCACTGCCTTCCCAGGCACAGGAGCAGAGAGCTGGATTGGGAGCAGTGTAGCTGAGACTTGAACTGGCACACTGATATGGGACGCCAGCATCACACGCAGTGGCTTACTCCGACGTGCCACAATGCCAGCCTTGAAATGGGCATGTCTGAGAGTCAGCAAGATGGTGACATGCAGCAGAGGTGACCCCTGATTTCAGAAAGGGTGACAGACGCTGAAGAGCCTTGTGTGATGCGCAGGTGCCTGGCCCCACCAGCCTCTTGGGACACATAAAGATGCTCAGATTTGAAAGACATTGCAATAGGCTGTGTTTTCTACAGCTAGGAGTTTGAGGGGCAGATGGGATACCCAGTGGCTATTCTATGGGCAGTTGGCCTTCTGGCCTTCAGGCCCTCAGAGAGAGAGACTACACGGCAGGTATGAATTCAGGAGTCATCAGCAAGTGGATAGAAATCAAGGCCAAGGGGTAAAGGAGCCCCAACCCTGACCAGTGCACACAGCAAGAGAGAAAACAGAGCTCAGAAAAACACCAGCACTGAAGAAATGAGCAGAGAGGAAAAGGCTAGAAAATGAGATTGAAGAGACAGAGAGGAAGAAGGAAAATTAGGACACAAGATGACACAAAATTTTAAAAAAGAAGCATTTCAAGGAGGGTGTGACCAGCTCTGCTACCACAAAAAGCCAGACTCCATTTTTTATCTTGGCTGCCTACATCTTATTCAGGGTTCCTTCTTATTCCTAACCCAGAGACTGGCACAGAGCTTCCTAGGGGTAAATGTGCCACCCCTGCCACTTCCAGGTGGAGTGCATTGGAGCTGGAACGCCGGATCTAACACTTGTCTTGAAACAAGAGGTGAGGGAAGAAACAAGAAGAGAATCTATTTGACCCACCTTCTGATAGCTGTTTCCTTCTTTTAAAGAAAATGAAACAAAAGCGATACCTAGCATAGCACATGTAGTGGGTTCCACAGTTTATGGAATACTTTCATGCCGCGGGATAGGAGAAATCACTTCTAACATTCTATAGCACACCAGGATAACTATGGTTGACAACAATGCATTGCATATTTCAGCATAGCGAGGACAGGGGATTTTGAATGTCTCCATGCAAAGAAATGACAAATTTTGAAGGTGACAGATATGCCAGTTATTCTGATCTGATCATTACACAGTGAATACATGTCTTGAAACATTACACTATAACCATAGATATGTGCAATTACTATGTGTGAATTTAAAAACTAAGAATATATTTTATAATAAAATGTTTTTAGCATCTTATCCAAATGTCAAGTTTAAAATGATGTGGCTGGATAGAAATAATATGGATATAAAAACTGAGACATAGGAATATTGAGTATAATGTTCAGGATCATGATGACGATTTGCAATCTTTCCAGTGCTCCCCTTCCCCGCAGTACACTGTTCAGATTCGTGAAATTAGCCTGCATCCTCTCTCTCCTGATCGTCTTCCTGCCTGCTTTTCCCAATCTCTTCTCTTCGTGTCTGCATGTCCCAGAAAGAATTCTAGAGTCCCATTTGTACAACGCTGGACTTTTTCCACATGGGAAGGGCAAGGCTGACATAGTTCTCTCAGTAAACATCAGCGGCAAGTGACAGTGATTTACGTGCAGCTTGCGGACTTCTGATTACCAATCCACGGCCTGCTATGTAAACAGGTGTAAACCAGGATTTAATCAGTTTACACAGGGCGGTAAATAATTTAATCTCCCCTCAGCGCGGTGCTTGCGAATGTAAATGTTTAAGCCAAAATTGATGCTGACATTGTGATGCAAGCGTCCAATTTCTCAGCCAGAAAAGCTCTGTCCACAAAACGGCCATCACGTGCTCCTGCCAGGGGACAGGGATGCAGGGATGAGGCAAAAGACCCCAGGCAAATGGGAGGAAGCCTCATTTTTCTCAACATAAACCTCAGCCATGGACCTGCAGAGCTGGCCATGATCTCTCTACCCTTAATTCCTCCTGGTCCCAAGACATTTCTCTCCTCCTTGATTCTTCTTCTCCACACTATTCTGCAAATGTCTGAACTGGCTGCTGGGGTGTGAAAGGAGACAAATAAGAGAAAGAGCAAGAAAACAGCAGTCTTCAGTCTACGCGGAATAGCATTCTCACTTGAAGACCACCTGAGCATTAACTATCTGTCAATGTATTTCATTGCATTTAGAGCCCATGGAAATCATGTGGCTGTCAAAAACCATGACTACACCTGTGAGAGTTCACAGAGAGTACATCTACCATGACTGTCATTCATAGTATCCATGTTCCAGCAAGTCTGACTCTTCCCTCTGGCGGGTGGATGGGAAAGGAGCTTGTGCTGGTCTTCTGTGGCTAGGAAGGCCTGAGAGCCACAGGTTAGCATGGCTGCGGATCCAGAGGAAGGGTGCGCGTGAGCAGAGAGGACATCGCCTCATTTTCCTCTGTCCCCTTAGAGAATTCTGGCTTACAAGCAAAGTTTGTATCTCCTGGCACAACTGGTAATGCCATGGCCGGGAATTTGTTATTTAAAAAATACAGTATTAAAATTAAGAAAACCTATAGTCAGACTTTGAGTAAGTCCTTGATAACAAGTAGATTGGATTTTTTCCTGTACCTACATAATTTATGATAGGAAAAATGTAGCTACTACTTACTAAATACATGGAGTTTCCTTCTCGAAACATTTTTTTGTTTGTTTTCTTGTTCAGAAATAGTTTATTTTTCTTAAACCATTTGTTGAGCAACTGACAAAAGCCAGGCACTGGGATGGGTGTGTGACACCAACATTATCCTCAATTTGCAAGGAGGAGCCTGAAACCCAGAGGTAAGCAGCTCACCTGAGGTTACTCAGCTGTGAAGGGTGGGTGGCGATTTGAACCCCAGCATGAGTCTTTTGAAAGCCCTTCCTCAAAACCATGCTTTAAAGCTTATGTTCGTCCCAGGCGTTCTGCACCCCACTTCCAACTTCTGATGGCTTAGGACGAAAGGTCTCCAGGCTATGGGTCTAGGAGTTTTAGTAAAGCTCAGATGTGTTGAGTCCAGTTCCAAAAATAAATGGGCTGAATTTTATGCTTTACACATATTATTTCTTTTAGCATCTGCATGAGATAGATGTCATTGCTATTATCTCTGCTGTTGTTTGAATGTGTTCCCCCCAAATGCATGTGTTGGAAATTACTCTTGATGCAACAAGGTTAGGATATGGGGCCTAATTGGCGGTGTTTAGGCTAGGAGGGGTCCACTGTCATGAATGGATGGATGCTGATTATAAAAGCACTTGAGGCTCTCTCCCTTGTATCATGCCTTTTGCCACATTATGACAAGGCAAGAAGGCCCTCAGGAGTGGGACTACAAGTGCAGAACCTCAACCTGGACCACCCAAGCCTCCAGAACTCTGAGCCAAATTACTTACTGCTGTTTATAAAATACCCAGTCTGTGGTATTCTATTACAGCAGCACAAAACAGACTAAGCCAATTCCCATGAGGCAGGTGGGAAAAGTGAGTCAAAGAAATAAACCTCCCAATATCACAAAGCTACCCAGCTGTCTGACTGGGGACTAGTTAGGTGGTTTCTCCTGAAACTCGAGGGTGGGTAGGCTGTGCAGCAGAGTGGGATTCAGCGGCAAGGACCACACTTAGGATACTTCTAACACTTACTTTCCAGGGAAAATACAATCTAAATAGAATTTAAAAACACAAACAGCACCTAAGTGAGACTGTGGAATCTCCCGTGGGAGAGAATGGCTTTCCAGAAAACACTGCAGGTCACCCACCTGTCCTAACAGAAAATGGCAAGTGAAGAGAGATACAGAAAAAAAAACACACAAACAATGGGCAACCCAGAAGTTCTCAATATTATCTCCAAAAACCAGAGTGTGAGATTTCCAAGAGAGAGAACAGAGGTAAGGTACGAGAGCAGGTAGGGCTGTGAAGGTCAGGCTCACTGCAACTCACCTCCTGGCTTTAGTCTCCACACTTTGCAGTGCGTAGTAGCCTGGTTTGCATTCGTATCTGCAGACGGTGCCCACGTCGTGCTGGCCACGGAGACAGTGAGGCAGGAGCAAGTCGGCGTTCAGAATCACAGGAGGAGCGTCGCACTCCAGCTTGCAGTAGACTTCAGGGAGAGACCAGAGCCCATCTTCCAGACAGGTCAGCCACGGGCTCAATCCTGACTCCAGGAAAGAGAAGCAGGGGTGCTCAGAACAGGGAGTCCAGAAATCGCAGAAATGGAAGTCTGCCAACTTTGGCGTTCTTGGGAACACACATCTTCATTGAGCAGCGTCTCTAAACTCGCACATGAAATGTTCATCTGATACCTTGCTACCCACAGAGTGCCCGTGTGCTCCTATTACTGATGAGGGGTCAGATAAATACTTCTCAGCCTGAGGGAAGAATGGTTATCAACCAAACCATTACCTCTCTTCCCACCTATAAATTATAAAAACATAGGGCTGACAGCATCATGGGAGCATTAAAGTAATAATAGATGACACTTTAAAAGTGCGGATCACTGCCAGGTACTGTTCTAAGCCTGTTAAATGGACTAACTCTTGTAAACTTCAAACTTCAAAGAACCCAAAGAAAATATATTCTGTTATTATCCCGTCTGCAGACGAGGAAGTTGAGGTTCGGTAACTTGCCCGAGTTAGTAAGAGGCAGAGGCAGGATTTGAACTCAGGCAGTCAGGATGTGGAATTCTGTTTGCAAATACCACACCCCAGTACACTTCATGGCTTCGCTCAAGTGCACTCCATCGACTACTCACACTAGTGCCATGAAGCCCCCAGACCTGCTAAATCAGAATCTCTTGGAGTGAGGCTCAGGAATCTGCATTTGGAACAAGCCTCCTGAGTACCTGTTAGGTGCACCAAAGCCTGGAGGGTGGTGAGGTCAAGGGTGGGGGTGGGGGGCTGTCAAGTACATCAGGTTCCTCCCCATCTTCATCTCTAACCAGCAGTACAGCAGGGGAAAAATATATAAGGGGGCCAGCACTGTGGCTCACTTGGTTAATCCTCCACCTGTGGCACCGGCATCCCATATGGGTGCTGGGTTCTAGTTCTGGTTGCTCCTCTTCCAATCTAGCTCTCTGCTGTGTCCCAGGAGGGCAGTGGAGGATGCCCCAAGTCTTTGGGCTCCTGCAGCCGCATGGGAGACCAGGAAGAAGCACTCGGCTCCTGGCTTTGGATCTGTATAGCTCCAGCCGTAGTGGCCATTTGGGGAGTGAACCAATGGAAGGAAGACCTTTCTCTCTTTTTCACTGTTTATAACTCTACCTGTCCATACACATACACACACACACACACAAGGGGACATCAAAAAGGTCATGGAAATATGGTATTGAAAGGTATGTTTACTTTGGTGAAAAACACTTTGAAATCCACGGATACTTTTTTCTTAACAAGCATCCTCCAAGACCTTTTTAAAATTATTTTTCATCTACTTGAAAGGAGAAAGAGAGAGAGAGAGAGAGAGGGAGAGAGAGAGAGAGAGAGAGACCTTCCATCTGCTAGCTCATTCCCCAGACACTTGAAAAAACCAGGGCTGTGCCAGACCAAAGCCAGGAGCCTGGAACTCAATCCAGGTCTCCCATGTGGACGGCAGGGCCGGGCGCTTGAGCTGTCACCTGCTGACCTTCAGGATGCAGTAGAAGGAACATGAGTAAGTAGCAAAACAGCTGGAACCCAAGCAGTGCTCCCATGTGGGATGCAAGCATCACAAGGGGTAACCTAACCTGCTGTACCACAATACCCACCCCTCTGTGACGAACTTTTTGAAGACCCTTTATATAATTGTGCTCTCATCTGTAAGACAGAACTAAACACATGCAACTCACAGGATGATTGAAAGCCTTAAATTTCAAACTATGCATGATAAAGTACATCTTGATTACTAATATTATCAGGACAATTGTACTAGCTGGCTTGACTCTGGGATGCATACAATCAACTAAAATCAGAGGAAAGGTTCATTAAGGGGATCCTGAACTGGTGCATCCTTCAGGTAGCTGGAAACAAAGAACAGTGATGCCCTTTGGGATTTTGCTGGCATTACTAGAGGAGGGTGGCACGGTGAAGCCAATGGGAAGGGAGCTTTGCACAGGGCACCACAAGTCCCCAAGGCTGAGGAGCTGAACAGAGTTTGCATGTATTTCCTGACTGGCCAGACAGTACCTTGAAGCTTGGCTGGTGCGACACAAGAGATAGAGCAGCGCTTCAGAAAGTCGGTTCCCTCTGGGCAGGAGAAGGTGGCGTGGTTCACCAAAGATGGGTCAGGAATCCCACAGTCAAAAGGCATGCAACTCACATCCATGTCCCAGTGCCCAGAGGAGCATGTGAGCAGGGTCTCCTTCTAGAAACAGAAAATTTGCCTCTGTCAAGTTCACATAAACAGGTTCATCAGAACATTTGCAGTTTCTAGGCTTTGGAAACAACCTGGTGAGTATTTGTCCAAATATTCAAAACAGGTAAAATTATTTTTGCCTTTCTGCTTCTTTATCCCTAGTTGTTTTCATACACCATCTCACAATACCCAGGCCTGATGCTGAAGAATGAAACCCATTAGTTAGGGTAAGAGAATCCTGAATGGCCAGGCTTCTCAAGGCCAGTTCTACTGCTTGTCCTCCCTTTGCTCTTCCAGATCCGTCCACCACCCTCCTCCTGGCCTGGGTTCAGGAGAGTGGAGAGGAAGGGAGAGGGAGGTCAGAGATTGCTCTTCCTTTTCCTTCCAGATGGGGTCGCTGCTGTCAACGCATCCTCGGGCAGCTCTTTCTTCCTGTGGACTCCACTGCTCCTTGCAGTCTGTTTGTCAGGCCGAGGGGTGGTAACAGCAGGTCTTTATCCCGGGATACTGCGCCATCTCCTTGTGATTTCTCTGGATCCTGCCTCTAGCTCTGTAAGTAGTCCCTTTATTAAATTCTTTCAAGAGCCGCCCAGTTTTGAGTTCCTCGTTTGTGTCCTGCTGGCACCCTTATTAATAAGCCAGCTGATACCACCACTGAGAACGGTGCAGGTATCCAAGAACAGCCGAGAGTGAATACCTCCAGGGCACCGTCAAGACCTAGAGCAGAGACATGACAAATTCCAGGCCTTTCCCAGGGGCTGTCAGTTCAGTCGGGTAGCCCTAGAGCGCATCACTGCTAATTAACTGAAGACATATGTATGGAGCACCCAGGGGACCAAGCCCTGTGCGGAACAAGATGCTCTCCTGGAGCAAATCGTATGTTGAAACTGGCTCAGGAAGAGTCAGACAGAGGAAGAGTGGAGAGAGGGAGAAAAGAGAAGAAGTCAGGAAAGGAGGAAGGATATTGGTAGAGATCTATTTTTGTTTTGTAATACTTGGAGAGAACACAGTATAAATACTGAAATAATAAAAGCAAAGTAGAAAATTGGGATTGAGTAGAAAGAAAATATAAATACATAAAAAATAAAGCCATAATCATATAATCCAAGGGGGCTTCAAAAGTTCATGGAAAAATGGAACTAAAGGAAAGAATTATTTTGGTGAAAATATTTTGAAATCCATGCCTAGTTTGTTTTGTTTTGATCATACATGTTTTCAACTTTCAAAAGATTACTTATTTATTTAGAAGGCAGACACACAGAGTTCTCACCACAGGTTCACTCCCCAAATGCCTAAAACAGCTGGTGCTGAGCCAGGCCAAAGTCAGGAGATGAGAACTCAGTCCAGGTCTCTCACATGGGTAGCAGGGACCCGACTACTTGAGTCATTACTGCTTCCCCCCAAAGTATGCGCCATCAGGAAGCTAGAATTGCCAGGTGAGCTGGCACTCAAACCCAATGCTCTGATAAGGGATACGGACATTTTATCCATTAGTCAAAACTTTCTGCAGGTCCTTTGTGCTGTCGTGTGGTGGCACAAAGGCATTGTGGGGACTAAAGACATAAGCTGAAGCCCCAGAAGCTGGGCGTGGAGGGAGAACACATGGGCAGTTCCCGGAGTAACCACAGGGGCTGGCCTCTCGAGACGATCAGGCTTCTAGCAGTACAGGAAGTGGAAGGTGTCCAGAGTAAGAAGAAAGGAGGGCCAGCCATCGCTCCAGAAGACCACAGCAACACCAAGGCCAAAGGTGGAATGCTGCCGAAGGCACCTGTCACCCCAACACCAACTCCTGGCTGGCTGCTTCTCCCAGCTTCCCAGTGTTTCCCTGTTGCCTGCCAGAAGGACAAAATTCAAAGCCAGACATCTTTTTCTTTTTAGTTTCAGTTCTTGTGTCAACAAAAGGCTAATATCCCCACTGTCTTGTGATCACGAGCTGGGAAAGCATGATTTCTTTCATGGGGCCAGCCTCGGGTGACAGAAGTGTGGTCAGCTGTACAGCCCTGTTGCTAATTTCACCATCTGGTTGGCAAAGGATGAGCCCCCACCTTCCCTTTCAAGCCCAGATTCTGCCCCTTCCATACTTATCACAGTCTGGCCATCTGGCTCAAGCCACCAGGAGCCACTAATCATTTAAAAAACATCTCTCAAACTCTGGCTGTGTTGCCTGGTTTTTCTCCTGGCTTTGTTAGATATTGACTGTTTTGTTTTGAATTTGCTCCTAATTTCAATGCATTGCAAACTATCTTTTCTTCCCTCCCTTCTTTACCTATCACAGAAGTGAATTCAGTTCCTACCTTTTTGTTTTTGTTCTTTTTCATTTCTTCCTATCTCATTTCTAGAGTGGACAAAGCTTTGAGTTGTGATAGGATAGCAATAGGTGAAAAGAACTCTGTTTTTCTGACTAAAGTGTCATGGACCAAGAAGTTGGGGCCTCAAGGCAGAACCTAAACCACTTGAAATCCAATATCTTGACTTTAAACTGTGACTATCCAAGTGAAATGTTCCCACAAGTTCACAACCTGTTAAGCAATCAATTGGCACAAAATGAAGAAAAAAATTCAGGCTTCCAGACCATTGATATCTGACTAATGATCATGTGTCCACTTTGTCCTCATGATCCCACATCTCCCCTCTTCCCTCTGTAAGCACCAGTGCATCCTTTCTCTATCCCATACTAGGGTCCTGTTTTTAATGGCTGGTTTTATGCTTCAAATTCATCTGCAGAGTACTGTAAACTCTCTAAAGGAAAGAAATGACAATTCTTAGTTATGCTTATAATAATGCAGCTTGGGGGCTGGCACTGTGGCACAGCAGGTTAAAGCTCCAGCCTGCAGCGCCGGCATCCCATATGGGCGTTGGTTCGTGTCATAGCTGTTCTGATTCAGCTTTCTGCTATGGCCTTGGAAAGCAGTGGAAGATGGCCCAAGTCCTTGGGTCTCTGCACCTGCATGGGGGACCTAGAGGAGGCTCCTGGCTCCTGGCTTCAGATCAGCTCAGCTCTGGCCATTGTGGTCATTTGAGGAGTGAACCAACTGAATGGAAGACCTCTCTCCCTGACTCTACCTCTCTCTCTATAACTCTGTCTTTCAAATAAATAAAATAAATCTTTAAAAAAATAATGCAGCTTACTAGTCAGAATGCTGTGTGCCTTGTCTTGTGCTAGAAGCTTCCAAATTCTTTTTTTTCATTTATTTGCAGTGAGAGAGAGAGAGAGACAGACAGACAGAGAGAAAGGTCTTCCTTCTGTTGGTTCACCCCCACCCCCACCCCCAAAACCGCTGCTACAGACGGAACTGCACCGATCCAAAGCCAGGAGCTAGGCGCTTCCTCCTGGTCTCCCATGCGGGTGCAGTGGCCCAAGCACTTGGACCATCCTCCACTGCCTTCCTGGGCCACAGCAGAGAGCTGGACTGGAAGAGGAGCAACCAGGACTAGAACCTGGCGCCCATGTGGGATGCCGGCGCCGCAGGCGGAGGATTAACCAAGTGAGCCACGGCGCTGGCCAAAACTTTCAAATTCTTTCCAGTCTGTCCGCAGAGTGGCTCAATGACATAAGTTCTTTTGCCCTAATTATTTTACAAATGTCGAAACAAGCTTCAAGAGGCGAGCTTCCTGTGTTTGTTTTGACCCCAAATTACACACATAATACATAAGGAAGTTGAGATTTGATACAGATCTGCCTCCTGAGGTATGCTCCTTACAAAAGCATTGCAGTACCTCCACCTGACCCTACTTGACTTCCTGAGAAGGGTGCTGCAGGAATTTTAAGTTGAACTTGTAGAGGTTTGGAAAATTTAGCCAAACTAGAATCATGATAGAACCTTTGCCCCAGTAACAGCTGTAATGTTTTGGGGGAGAAAAATCAGACCCTATTTATCCAACTGTCTTATTCGAGGGTTGAGGGGGACAAGTGACAATTAATTGGACAAGTTGATTGCAAACCAGCTGACCTGCCAGTTACAGACAGGCCTACACTGGGGCCTTCTCAGCCTAAAGGTGAAAGTAGGGAACATAATTGTTGAGCAGAAGACAAAGCCAAGAGAGAACATCAGAGGAAGTGTTTGCCCAACTGGAGAGCCAATTCATGCCCAGTTCATCAGAGCTGCACAAGCTCTTCTGTTAGCCACGCTTCCCTCTGCTTCTTAGAGCCCTCACTGTTTCCTTTCCAGGTCGTTTAGAAAACCCTGTCCTTCTCCAACCCACCCATGGGGAAGAGCATGCAGAGCTTCTTCCCAAGCTGGTCTCCCTGACCACGCGTTTCCAACTCACCTGAATGGGCCTGAGGTACTGCCCACTGCTGGCCTGCAGGGCAAATCCTCTTTGGCACACGATGGCGCACTTCATGTGACCTGGGCCATGAGAGCTACAGTTCACCCTATCCGCGTGGTCAAGCAGCAGCGGCGCACAGCTGCCCTGCTCCCCACAGGGCCGGTAGACACAGCTGGGGACGACAGAAACAGAAGCATCTTAGGACTGGCTCAGAACCCATACACAGCCACAATGACTTCACAGCTCCTGCCGGGAAGTGCCCCTGAAACAGAGGGAATAGTGATTTTCCATAACCTACATTCAAATCATCACTTCTACACTGCCTAAATCACCTTTTTCTACGTGGCAGATCAGATCAGCAGTGTGATAAACACAAACAAAAACATCTGAGAATAACGGACTTTCAAAGGCTCTTCTGGAAGGGTACATGGTGATGGGATGACAGCTGATGCCAGGAGTTCTGGATGACCTCAGAGATGAATGGATCAGGGGCAATCCCACAAATTGAACCACCAGTACTGTAGGTCCTAAACAGCAAGAACAGACCCAGGATCAAGCTGTGGAGTAAACCCTGCAGCTGTCTGGTTGTGTCAACTGCAGGGCAGCCCCAGGGGGTCTGGACATCTGAGGTGGCAGAGAAGGAAACATCTGTTTACGGACTGATATGGAAATACTTTTGACACTGGAACAGCCATAGGAATACACATCACTGAATATCAACACAGGCTAATCAGAAATGTGGCTTATTAAAGAAAACTCACACGTACCGAATCCCCATACATGCCTGGCGTTGTGTGATATCTGCTTCCAGACATCCTCACAGCAGAGAACTGCTGCCCTAATCACTGGGTCCATCAACCAGGGAAAAAAGAAGTTCCTAGGATTCAGGGAGGATCAGCCAGGACCACAAGAGCAGCAAAGAGGCAATGGTGCACACAGAGTGCTACCCTCTTGCCACAGCAAAACCACACAGGTGAAAAACTGTGGCATTGGCTCCAGGCTGTCTGGGTTTGAGTTCTGACCCCAGTGTGTATTAGCTGCAAGATTCAAAGTGAGTTACTGCCTCCCAGTATTTCAGCTCCATCCTCTATAGACAGGAATTCTAATGGTGCATGTCTCACAGGCTTGTTTTTGTTCCCAGATTGGTTTCCTCTACCATCCACCGCACTTGGCCTAGTGCCCATCCCTCCATCCTGCCCCCGCCCCATTTGTTGACAGCTATTCTACTCTTCAGTTTTCTTCTGTACTTGTGCTCATTGTTTGAGATTTCTAAAAGACATTTATGCTCCGGGAAACCCTTCTAGAAATCTTCATCCTTTGTACTCCCTAGTGGAATTTTAAAAATAGTTCCCTTCTGATATTTCTTTTACTCTTAAAAGTTAATGTATGCATTTTCTTACTCTATAATTAGTTATTCATCCTTTTATCCACAAGAAAATTCGTACCTGAGTGTCTCTTAAATGGTGACTCTCCCAACTAGATTATGTGTTTCTTAAGGAAAAATATGGACTCTTATCCACAACTTTTATAAAAAAAATCCATCCATGTTCCTATATTATTCTAGTTGCTTTTACTACAATATGTGCCTTTCTTTCTTGCAGTTAATAAGGATACACAATTTCCCCTTTACTATTCAGGATAAGTTTTTTTTTTTTTTAATCCAGCACACATTTTGCTATAGTAGATACAATAAAAGTTTGATGAAGTAAATTTATTCACAGTATAAACAACAAAGGAAATCTATACTTTCGAAAAGGGATGTTAGCTAAATTTCACAGTGACTTACAGGGTTCTGAAATATAAAAACACCTTTATGCAACAATGATTCAAACATCTTGCTCTACTCCTTCATTTATTAATAAGGAATTAATGAGAACTTACTATTTGCAAAACATTGGTCTGAGTACTGGCAGTTTAATAAAAACCACACCCTTAAGGTCTACTGGGGGAGACCATCAAAATGTTTCCTTGCACTTGATGTTGTAGACAGTGGTACTAATTGTTAGCCAAAGTGACTACTGTGAATTTCATCACCGCTGATGTGGATGCTGCCCTTGAACTGTGTCAGCAGTCAAGGGCTTTATCAAAGAGCTAGGCAACAGCAAAAGTAAGCAGAAAATAAAAAAGTCATTGGGTATAGACATATTGCCTGGAAACAAGCTGGAGTTGATTAAAAAGCACTAGCCCCCAAAGGCGGATTTTATCTGAATATGCTAAAGTTGATGTCCCTGATTTTGTACCCATGAGATTGATAGCATAAGCTGGTGCTGTCCTCATTTCTTGCTTATTAGGCACGCAATGGAGAAACTGGAGTTGAAGGGCATGAGGGAAACTTTCTGAAATCCTTGGTGCCCTGGTAATTCCCTGTGATGATGTGGTCTCCATCACAGGGTCTGATGAAGGGAGAGATACATGGTTGAGGGTGTGGGCAGTGATTAATGGGTCAGCGTGAGTTCTACAAGTCCAGTAGTGAGAATCAGATGGGCGACACAGGCAATAAGCCTTTGTTTCTGAGCTTTTATTCAGCATATCTGGATAATGGAGCTAAAGGTTAACCATCCTTTATGGGATGGGATCAGAACACCCCATTAATGATGCTAAAGAATGCCAAACTCTATGGATGCCCCATGCCGCTGATATCCACACATAACCTCTTCCTCAGCACGGTGAGCAGGAGGTACCGGAAAACAGTCATTAACGTTCTGGTTGGTGCCAGCCTTTTGCCAAAAATTCAATGTGAGAGCGCACATGTTGTTGTTCTGTGACTTCATCCAGTTAATCTACGTCATCACTGAGGACAAATACATGCTGAGACTGACACCAAATATTCCAGATGAGTCTCTTCCATCAGGATGGAGTTCCACGAGCGACTGCTGCTGTGAATGCTGGCGCGAGAGTCCGTCCAGCTCTGGCAGCAAGGGAGGAGGAGGGGGACAGGGAAGCACACAAGAGGAAAAGTGGCGTGAAACAGGACCGAGACTCAAAGAAAAGGACCGAGCCCAGACCTGTTTATGAAGTGAGAAGTGGTTTTGGGCCAGCTGCTGCAAATTCTTTCACTAGCTTATATTTCCATTTGCTTCCTTTTTAAGGAATTTGTTTTACGAGGACGGTGTTTGTCAGGTCGTTAGCTTCTGGTGGCATCTGGTACCAATTGTAGACTTCTCTCCCTTGCACCCCTACACCAAACCTCTGATCCTGTTTCTCCTCCACCACAATCCCTGCTTCTCTGAGTTAGGCGGTTGGGTTTCCAGCATCCCACCCTCCAGACCATTGTTCCATCTACCTGATGCTACATACACTTGGAAAGCGTGAAGATAATGCTAACAGTAAAAAATACTTTTCTTGAAACTTCTCCAAACCTTTTCCTTATGGCCTTTGGACAGATGTTAGTAAGAATGGCAGAAGTGACTCCTTACAACGCCCAGAGAGGTGGGAAGTTGGATGTTCATCTTGGTTTGACGTACAGGGAAATTAAGCTCTTGGGGACTGGCTGGGGGCCACATAGAGAGCCAGAGCAAAATCCTCAGGCTGGACCTCGGAGTCCTCCCACTCAGGGCCAGTCTGCACCGTGAGGCCATCTCCCTACGGGTGAAGTTGCTTTTCCTCCAAGTTCTGGAGCTAGAAGCATAGGCTGGGCTAAGGCAAGCCAGGTCCTCAGCAGGGTAGGTGGAAGAAAATTCCAGAATATTAAAGACCCACTTAGTTTTAAGCAGTTTTCTTTGTCAATGATGGCAGATAAAGGGGCAACATCCATCCAGCTGCTGCTGTATCCAAGATGCTCGGTTAAGTGTGTTTCCTCCTTTGGCAACACCTCCTCACCCTTCCACCCATTTTTTTCCAGATCTTTCTCCCATCACAATGTGTTCTCAGGTAAGGATATGATGAACCAGTCAGATGTGATTCACAGGCATTTCCGTTTTGACAGCAGACAATGTTTTCAAGCTGGCATCTCCAGTTGGGAGGCCCTGAGGAATCGCACTGTGTAGATGGGCATCTGCCCACAGCTTGGGCTTTGCTTTCTGTCCTTCCACTCCTCTTACGAGTCTCCTCTCTTCCATCTCGTCCTCACTCCCAGAGTCAGTGGTTTGACAGTTTTAAAAATGTTCTTTCCACTGAGCAAGTCCTATTCAAGCTGTCTTTTACCCCCAGGCTATTCCCCTCTAACCAAAACCCGCTCACAGGCCTCCCAGACTCAATCCTAGCCATGTCCTGCAAGAGACACACGTGCCTTCCCCAGGCTGGATGGGGGAAGGCAGTGATGCCTACAGTCTGAACGCCTCCGTGGGCATAGTTTCATGAAACAGCGGTCCTCCTGTGCCGAGAGGCGCGTCTGCTCAGCCATGACTGCCCGTTCAACTCACTTAGGCAGCTTTGAGCAAACTTAGATATCCAGGCTTTACGCCCTGGGGGTTTGGATATATGGGCCTGTGGTGGACTGTTAGCATCTGCGATGTCTTTTAGGTCTCAAAGTTTCTGATGCTCACCAAGAGTGAGCTTCAGCTCTATAAATAGCTGGATCTATGTAACCTGACAGATATGTCTATAAATTCTATAGGCCAAGACTATAAACCAGCAAGGCGGACTCCAAATGGAGAAACTTGTTCCATTGCTCCATCGTTGTGTCTTAATGGACTAAACACAAATTGTCACGTAGAAGCCATAGGAGAGAGCAGAGGCATAAAACATTTCCCCTGTTCCGGAAAATACTTGAATGCAGATGGAGAGAGAAAATATTTAAATCCTGTATTCCTGATGATAAATTCCTGGCTGCTTTAGAGAAAGTTTTATTATTCATTGCATCTGACCTCAGTGAAGAAATAGTATTTGAAAGGGCCAAAGAGATATCTTGAAAAGTTATCTCTGAGGCTCTATAGACAGGACACGGGGGCAGGTTGCAATCTCAACACTTGTATAAAAACGCCATTCCCCTACCACCACGAACTGAATAAAATCCAGTATGCGGGAAACACTGAACGTCTGACGCACACATTTAGAGGACTCTCTAGTGAGAAGAGTCAACAGCTATATCTGAAATAGACTTAGGGGGGAGAACCCAATGTTTTCTTATATCTTCTACTGGTCATTGAGGAAGAAGGTAAGGCCAGCACCAGAAAATGGCATTCATTCTCTGCAGATGGATTGTCAACAAACTTGTCACAAGGACACTTGTCA